AGATAGAAGCGGGCAGTGCGAGGTTGGGGAACGATGAGGTTGGAGGCCGTGGGTGGGAGGTCACCTGAGGTGATGAGGTTGTGGATGGTTTGCGAGATGATGGTTTGGTGCTCAGGGGTGGGGTCATGATCAACTAATATTGCTGATCGCAATGAAGACTGAAGTTTAAATCAGTCACTGGAAATGCCTGGCTTATGCAAAAGCCTTTTTGTTTCCAGAAGTGCAAGAAGGAAAAATTTTATTGAAATGTGTAGGTCTCCATTTTTTACCTCAGGTTTGGAGAAAGTCACCTATTCTGGTACTTTCTTGCTTTTCACTATAACCCCTGATTCCCTGACTGATTAGAAATGTTATCTATCTCAGCCTTGACTATATTTAACAACCCAGCCCTATTCTGGTGCCCTGTAATATAAAAATTGCAGCATTTGTCAAGATGCCCAAGGAAGCTAACTGTGGGTGTTGTTTTGGTTTGGATGTTGGTAATGACAAGTGATCAGCGAGATTCTCCAGACTGACACAAACGTTTTCATTTTGTTCTTAACTGTTTAACACTGCCTCCTTTCAAAATGGATTGGTTCCATATTCACTGAGTCATACTCCTGTGATCAAAATATTTTAAGTACTTGTTTTAATACATTTCAGATAACAAGAAGAGTGTTTAAAATTAGTAGAAATTTAAAGGTCTCACGTGCCAAAAATGTGCCAAATTAGTTTGGCACATGCGAAAAAGAAATTCAGCTGTTTGTTATTGACTTATTTTGTGCCTCATGTTTTTAGTGTTTTGTGAGGAATTTTAGACTACTATGCTTAAGTAAATGAAGTGTATGTCATTGCATTAAATAATGAGTGGTTATATATTTGATAAACAATTTACTTGCTCCTTGTTATCTGTTTGGTCTTAATCAAATGAAGTAGTTTTCTGATTCACATGCTTTTCAGTTGTGTTTAAATGGCAAATTGGAAACAAAGCCATCCTGATCTTGTTTATTTCTTAGCAATTCCCTTTTTCTGCAGATATTTGAAGCCGAATTGAACCAAAACACTGGCAAGGTTGAACAGGTGAAAGAAAGGTTGATGCTGTTGCTGGAGGAGAACACCGACGCTCCAGAAGCTGGGAAATGGAGGCAGATGTTGGATTGTATAAGTAATATGTCACTTTGTTTATTAGACAACCATATAGAAGTTGTTACTTTAATGTTAGCTATTCAATGAGTTAAATAGCTAAAATGTCATGCATTCTCTTTTAGTTAAAGCCATTGGAATTATTTTGCTTGAGGTGGGATGGTATGGTATGGTATGGTGGATTAAAATACCATGTGCTTTTACCTTTGAAACCATCTGGGATATAGTAACATAAGAACAGGAATAGGTTCTGCCCTTTGAGCCTGTTTCACCTTTGAGTTCAAACATGAGTCATCTGCACTTAGTGTTCATTTACCCAACTTTGATCCACACGTTTTAAACTCCAACAAAAGTTGGTTGACCCCAGTCTTGGAAGTTAAATTGACCTCCCAGTTTCCAAAGCTTCAGCAGAAGGAGTTTCAGATTTCTAATAGTGTCAAAAATTCCCTCCTGATTTCACTCCTAAGTGGTCTAGTTCTAATTTTAAGATTCAGAACACTTAGCATGTGTATTCTGTGGATGCTAGAAAATGGTTTGTTGAGCTTGTTAGTGTGGATGGACACTTCCTTCGTTCGAGGCTAGGTTTTAGCTTTGTTGCAGATTTTGGATGCACAGAACTGAAAATTGTTCCTTTCTCAAGAAATTAACTGCTCAAATTGAAGTAATGAACTTTTTGCTGGAAACTTACTTTTGTGGTGCATGGCAAAAATAGAGCAGAAAAAGCAAATGCTTCAAATCTAAAATAAAAACTGAAAACTGTAGAAATGCAATAAAAGTTAGCCTAGAAGTCAACCTTCAAAACCTTTAGAAAATTCCTCAAATAACTTATGGTCGAAGTATCAAAGTGAGCCAGCAGTGTAGAGGGGTCACCATTAAGTGGGTACATCTTAAACTCCTGCACATTTGCACAACACAACTTGTATCATCTGCTTGAACACTTGTGCCCAGCTACAAGGTACTGGGAAGAAAAATGTACATTCCTTTGGTGAAATATTGAGGCTGACTGCTATTTCAGGGGCAGTCTGCATGGCTGAAAACGCAAGTCCAAGCATGTGCTGAGTTAGTGCAAAATCCGGTTTTAGAAAAAAAATGGGGTCTTGTACCCTAGATTGACTTGCTATGATTTATGGTATTTGAGACTGGCAGCATCTGTGGAGAGAGAACCACAGTTGTACCTGCTGAAACAGGAACTCTGTTTCTGTTCACAGATGCTGCCCCTAACCTGGATATATCATAAAAGACTTGAATTTATATAGTGCCTTTTACAACCTTGTGACGTTCCAAAGTGCTTCACAGTTGATGAATTATAATTGCATTACTTTAAGAATTAACATATGAATATAAGTAAAAAGTAAGGTTCATCTGCTTACTAGTTAGTTACCACAGTATCAGTCAACTCACTACATGATCTTGCAGACCTTATCTGGCTTGGGGGCACAATTTTTTGTTACTGAAATGTTGTTACTGAACCATGTAACAAACCCTTTGGGAAAGTGCTGACCCTTCTGTTTAATGTACAAGTAGACCTGTGCTCTTAATTTAAATATAGCTATCATGGGGCTGCTTTCTGTGACCTATTCATCATTCCTCTTGTAATCTTTTAAGATTTCATGCTAAATAGTTTCCTTGTTTCTTCAGTCAAAATGACGAGTTGTATATCTAGACTTTCTCAGTGAAACACCAATGCTTAACAAAATGTAACTGTTGCAAAAAGAATAACGGCTTTGGCGCAAAGAAATGGACAAAACATAAATGGGAATTGTAAGAAAGTTTAATGCAGCAGAAATGCTCTTATGAAAAGGGCATTTTTCTCTGTTGAACAGTGAATGAATGGTTGGTTTTGAATGCCTGACATACTTGCCATTTGTGTCTGTATTTGTTTTAAGCTACTCCCTTAAAACATTTTTTGTTTGTGTTCAACAATTATTGTGAAAGCTTTTCCCCAAGTGGATTTCCACTTACTTCTCATTACTTTGCTACATTGTTTAGTGCAATCTGTAACCTAGAATTGGCTGCTGTAAACTCAATGTTGGAACTAATGAACTCTCTCCCATTGTTTCTTCCATGACTTCTTCACCTGTGTCACTCCCCTTCAACCTATCTCTCTATCTAACTTTTTTTCTCTTGTCTCTCTCTCCCATTTTACCTCTTTTTTTCTATCTTGCTCTCATTTTATCCTCCAGCTTCACACCATTCCATCCCCCAGATGCCCTTCTCATTTTCACCATCAGGATTCCCCCTCCGCATCTCTCTCCACTTCTCACTTTTTCCCCTTGCCCTAATTTCCCCATATATTGCCAACAAATCTCTTCTTTGCAGTCTTAGCAGAAAAGATAAAGCTGATACAAAGAAAATTAACATATATATCTAGAACTGCAAATGTACCATAAAAGATCTCAAATCAAGTGATGAAAGTTAAGCATGTGGTGAACACTGACCTGTAGTCATGTCTCTTTTTTTCTTTAAAGCTATCAAAACTACTACTTAGTAGTAATGGGACATTTTCATTTGTTATAAGATGGCACTCCATACGTTTAGTTATTTTAATTTATTTCAATTTTGAAAAATATTAACTAATATTTACTTTTGTTTCTTATGTTCTGACAAAACTTCAAAACGAATCTCAAGTTGCTCTGTAAATTGACTGCTAGTCAGTTTAAAAAAAATTCCTTTATTTAATCAAGACTAGATTGGATTTCAATCTCTTCCTCCTCCTGACAAAAGCTGTCATGTTACTTTTGTTCACAATTATTAGCTTGAAGCTTGTTTATTTATCAGAATTGCATTGGCAGCGATACATAAGCTTGACAAAAGATGATTAAGAATTCAGTTTTAAGACATTCAATTTCATGACCATCATCTGGATAGACCGAGTAGTCAGTGTTGCATTTTCTGGTTCCTTCACACAAACTTGGCAAACTCACATCCAGCACTAGTAAACAGTAACTCATTTGAAGACTCTAACTGATATATTTTTGATGTACACTATCTATTATATATACACATACATACACACAAACAAACATGTCTATTGCAGCAAACAGGTGCACTTAGCATTCAGCTTCTCAATGTTACTCTTAGCTGCACCAGCACCATTAACTACCTCCTGGTGGCATGTTGTTTTGTATCCTGCTTCCCTGATCATTTGCATAGTGCATTGAGTATAGGAGTTGGGAGGTCATGTTGTGGTTGTATAGGACATTGGTTAGGCCACTTTTGGAACACTGCATTCAATTCTGGTCTCCCTTCCATAGGAAAGATGTTGTCAAACTTGAAAGGGTGCAGTAAAGATTTACAACAACGTTGCCAGGGTTGGAGGGTTTGAGCTAGTGAGAGAAGCTGAAAAGGCTGGGGCGACTTTCCATGGAGTGTCAGAGGTTGAGGGGTGACCTTATAGAAGTTTGTAAGATGATGAGGGGCATGGATACAGTGAATAGCCAAGCTCATTTTCCCAGGGTAGGGGAGTCCAAAACTGGAGGGCGTAGGTTTAAGGTGAGAGGGGAAACTTATAATGAGACCTAAGGGGCAACATTTTCATGCAGTCGGTGATGTTGAATGAGCAGCCAGAGGAAGTGGTGGAGGTTGGTACAATTGCAATATTTAAAAGACATCAGGATGGGTATATGAATATGAAGGGTTTAGCAGGATATGGGCCTAATGCTGGCAAATGGAACTAGATTAATTTAGGATATCTGGTCAGCAAGGACGAGTTGGATCAAAGGGTCTGTTTTAATGCTGTACAACTCTATGACTCTATGTTCTCTTAAAGGGATATTAAAATAGTCAGAATCCCAAGACCCACATAGAAATGAACATAAGAAGGGAAAACCTTCAGTTAAAAAGAAGCTTCCAAATGGTTCCTATAAGTGTTAATTCTGTCTACTGATGGCATCAGGCAAGTTAGCCGTGTTCCCCCAATGCATGGTGAGATGAAATTATCGATTGAATCAACTTGTTTTAAAATGGTAATGGAGAGGAGGCCCCATTATATGGATTAAGTCCTTTAGTGCACCTTTCAATGCTGCTACATTGAAACACAGAAGTTTTCTGGTGTTTGTATTTCTCATTTTTTTTTAATGCAAAATCAAGAATTGAAATTGTAGTAAACATTCATTACATGCAGCGTAAACTCGAACTCATACCAGTTGTTTCAGTGACTTAGATCCTTATAGAAGGGAGTGATTTAAAACTATAAATCGTTTCTTTGGAGCAGGATTCCATTTTCTGGTGAAAGCCTGTTGTGTACTAAGCTGAAAGTGAGCTTGACACAATACATGTTACTTGTTAATGAATTAACTTGGTGACCAATGCTGGAACATGGAACCTAATTCTGATCTGTGCATCCATTGTCAGTACCAGAAATAAGGAAATATGCCAAGACATGACTCAGCATTGTAAGGAGACAGTGACCATTGTTGATTATTTTGTACTAATGTTCCGGTTGGAGAGAATTCTGAGTGTGCATTATGTCAATATTTTTTTCAACAATTTAAGGGAAAGTATTCATATTATTCAAGCAATTTTCTTTGTTAGACCATAAGGCATAGGAGCAGGAGTAGGTCATTTAGCCCATTGATTCTACTGTGCTATTCAATCAGATTATGTATGATCTGATAATCTCAACTCCACTTTTCTGCCTTTTGAACTGACAACCCATGGTTCTGTTACTGATTAAAAATCTGTCTATCTCAGCCTTGAATGTACTTAACAATCCAGCCTTGACAACAGTCTGTGGGAAAGAATTCCACAGATTTACTACCCTTAAACAGAAGAAATTCCTCCTCATCTCATTCTTAAACCAGCATTCCTTTATTCTGGGATAATGTCCTCTGGTCCTAAACTCTCCCATGAGGGGAAACATCCTCACAGCTTTTAGCCTGTCGAACCCCTTAAGAATCCTATGTGTTTCAATGAGATCACCTCTCATTCTTCTGAATGCCAGTATGTAGAGACCCAACTTCTTTAGCCTTTGCCCAAAAGACAATCCATCCATACTGGGGATCATCCTAGTGAACCTTCTTTGAACTGACTCTAATGAACTGAAATCTTTCCTCAAATAAGAGGATCAAAACTGCTCACATTATTCCAGATGTGGTCTCACCAACACGTTGTACAGCACCAGTAAGACTTTCCTACTGTTGTACTCCAAACCCCTTGAAATAACGGCCAACATTCCATTAGCTTTCCTGATTACATACTGCACCTGTGTGCTAGCTTTCTGTGCATCATCCACAAGTCCAAGTCCCTTTTGTATTGCAGCTTTTTGTAATTTTTCTTCATTTGAGTAACACTGTGTTCTTTTATTCTCCCTTCTAGAAGGAATAAATTCACATTTCCCCACATTATAGTTCAATTCCAACTTTTTGCCCACATAACATACCAATAGCTCTCTGTAAACTGTATGCATTCACTTCATGACTTGCTTTTCTACCTATTTTTGTGTCATCTGCAAATTTGGCTACAGTACATTCACTTCCTTCCTCTAAGTCATTAATATATATTGTAAGGAGTGCGGGCCCAGCACAGACCCCTGTGGAACCCCACTGGTGGGAGGTTCTCAACCTGAAAAAGAACACCTTATCCCCACTCATTGTTTCCTGCCCATTAGTCAGTTCTCTATCCATGCCAATATACTATATCTAGCACTGTGAGCTGTTATGAAGTAACTTTTTGTGAGGTACCTTGTTGAATGCCTTTTGGAAGTCCAAATACAACACATCTATTGGATTCCCCATGCAATCTGGTTGAGACTTGCTCAAAACAATCTCTGATAAATTAGTTAGATTGGGAGATTGGATGCTTGTTGGGATCAGAGCTATAATGGTGTTGAGTATCAGTCCCCTGGCACTCTCTGCTGTCCTCTTTTTTTCAGGTCACAGCTGTTTGTCCTCAGTGTGAGTACAGACCAGCTTTTTACATGTACCAGATGATGTTTTCTGCCTCAATTTTCCTGTTTCCAATTGTTATAAAGAGTAATCTAATGTGGGACGCATTTGCACTTGGTGAAAAGCTCATTTCTTTTTCTCAGCAAGTCGGTGGCATCTCCTATCAAATTGATTGGCAATATCATTGCTGAGTCCAGTTCCCAACAATTACGTTCAGAGATGGTTGAGAAAAATTATTGGGAGCATCCTGTGAGTTGCTGACTATGCCTGTTATGCAATATTGGGTTTATTGAAGACATTAAAGAATAGCACTGTGGATGGATCTTCACCACATGGTCAGCAGCTCAAAGTCCTCAGCACCATCTTCTTAATTACACCTCAGAACAGATTAAATGCTGACCTTACCTATGACGCCCATATCTCAAGTGAATAGCATGAGGAAAATAAGGAAACACACAATGGGTGTAATTGTTTGCACATTCTCTTGCCACCACATCATTATTAGGCTCCTTTTCACTCTGTATCATGTTGGATCCTAGATTTTAAAAAATTTGTTCATTAGGTGTGGGCGTTGCTGGTAGGCCTGCATTTATTTCCCATCCCTAACTGCTCAGATAGCAGTTAAGAGTTCACCACATTGACGTGGGTCTGAAGTCATATGTGGGCATGAATGACAGATTTCCTTCTGTAAAGGACATTAGTGAATCCAGATGGGTTTTTATGGTAATTAGCAGTGATTATGATGAGCTTCTTATTACAGATTTTTATTGGATTCAATGTTTGACATCTGCCATGGTGGGATTTGAATGCATGTCCACAGAACATTAGCTTGGATTAATATTCCAGTGACATTACCACTGTCCCCACTGTCTTCCCCCAATTATTCCACCTTTCTCCAGGTGGATGCTGTTCCTTTCCAAACTATATGAACTTTCCCTTCAATATCATCTTATTCCATGCTATGTATTCACTTGTTCTCTGCTGTCATATTTTTGAACTCTCTTTTTCTCTCTGCCTGCACATGCCATCTCCTCCTCACCTCCCCCCAGAGTGTGTCTTCCCTCTGTAGGCATATACACCCTGCCTCAGCTCTTATTCTTTGTTCTTTCTTTCTCCTTGAGTTCTCTGCATATGCTTCGTCTCAGCACATGTTCTTGCTTTATCTTCCTTTTCGCTGCATATACTGTACCTATCTCAACAATCATTGTGTGTGCTCTTTGCTCACTCTGTATGATGTAATTCAGTCTCTGTTCACCCAGTCTACTGTATTTCACCCAGTCTACTCTATCTCACTGTGCCCATTCTGTCCTGCGCTGTTCTCACTCTGCATGCTGTATCTGACTGTGTACATAGTCTATCCTTCTTTCTTTCTGCATTGGGTCAATTGGCTGAAGAGTGGCAGATAGATCTTAATTTGTATAAATGCAAGATATTGCATTTTGGTATAACAACAAGGGCAAGCCTAATACAATTAAAGGTAGGGCCTTGAGTAGTGTTGTAGAATAGAGAGACCTACAGGTTCAGGTACATAGTTCTTTGAAGTTTGCATCACCTATAGATAGGGTGGTTAAGAAGGTGTTTAGCATGCTTACCTTCATTGCTCAGACCTTTGAGTATCGGAGTTGGGCTGTTATGTTGAGGTTGTACAGGACATTAGTGGGACCTCTTCTGGAGTACTGTGTCCAGTTTTGGTCATCCTGTTATTGGAAAAATATTATTTAGCTGGAGAGGGTTTAGAATAGAGTTACCAGGACATTGCCAGAGGGTTTGAGGAGATGCTGGATAGGCTGGGACCTTTTTTCACTGGAATGTAGGGGGTTGAAGGGTGACCTTTATAGGGGTTTATAGAATCATAAGGTGTGGAGATAAGGTGAATGGCAGGTGTCTTACCCAAGGATGGGGTATTTCAAGACTAGGGTGTATATTTTTAAGGTGAAACGAGAAAGATTTAAGAAAAGATACGAGGGACAATTTTTTTTACACAGACAGTGGTTTGTGTGTGAAATGAACTTCCAGAAGAAGTGGTGGGTGCAGGTCCAGTTACAACGTTTAAAAGACATTCGGATAAGTACATGAAAAGGAAAGGTTTGGAGAGATATGGGCAGGCAGGTGGGACTATTTTAGTTTGGGATTATGGTCGGCATGGACTGGTTGAAGCGAAGGGTTTGTCTCCGTGTTGTATGACTCTACGACTCTATATGTTACATGTTGCTCATTTTATGTTCACTTTCTTGCATACTCTCTCCAGGTCTCATTCTGTTACTCTTTGCCTGTGCTTTCCCACTTGCTGTTTGCTCATGCAATCCATGTGTGACACGGAAGTGGGCTATTTCAAAGAATAGTTACATCCAACCAAACCACTGACCGATTAAACATAAACTGGTCTCATCATTGCAGAAAAGCTTTCACTTTTGAGTTGTAAAAATTTGGTTGGTAAGGAAAGACTTCCTTCTAAAAAAAGGATGCATTTTCAATATTGTTGTCTTTTAGATTCAAAATGGCAACAGGTCAGCCAGTCAGCAGCAAACCGGCAGCAGAAGTTGGAGGAGTCATCTAGTTTCCTTAGTCAGTTTGAGACGGCAGAGGTGCAGCTCAGCCAGTGGCTTGTTGAAAAGGAACTAATGATGAATGTACTTGGACCACTCTCCATTGATCCACATATGTTGAACAATCAGAAACAACAAGTCCAGGTAAGGGCGAAACAATTTTGAGTGAGCATTTTGACTGAAACCAACCATGTTGAGATTTTGCTTTTTTGTGGTGGAATGCCGGGATCTAGAATGAACTGCCAAGAAGCAGATTTACACATTCAAAAGAGAATTGGACAAGGAGGAGATGAGGAAAAATCTCCCAAGCTCCAGGGAAAAAGCAGAGCAGTGGAAGTAATTAGATAGTTTTTCAAAAAAGCTAGCACGGGCATGATGGACAAAACAACCACATTTTGAGCTAATAGTCATTTGAAAGATTATTTTTAAACCTGATCCAAGTATCAGCTGTGTGATTAGAAGCACAGGAAGTTAGCTTTTTATTTACAAAAGTGTCGGCAAATGTCATATATCACGAGCAAACATCCCACTTCTGACCTCATGATGGAAGGAATATTATTGATGAACCCATGGGAGTAGTTGTTAGATAGGTTTAAGTTAAGCAAGTACATCTGGGAGATAGGAATTGCAGAGACAGGGCAAGATGAACAGGCATGGGAGGATGCTTATGAAGTGCAATCAGAATACTGTCACAGCTTAATTGGAAAGAGTGTACCAATAATTGTGCCCCACTGATTCATAAGCTGTTACAAAATGTATAAAGTCCCATTGGACCACCAAGATGAACAGTTCATCTGACTAACTGCTACTCAGGACAAAAGCAATTCACACCAGGTTTCGTCATGAAAAGAAAATAAATATTTATTGTGAGGGCACTTAATTTTAACAAGCAGCAGAGAAAAGAAAGTTTCCTAAGTTACTGCTATATTACTTAAAGCTAACTCTTTAAAAGCCCCAAAATATCCATAAACTCAGTCAAAATTAAGACAGATAAAAGACAGAAGGTTTGATACATATTATAGAATGAAAAGAAAATATGCAAGTAATAAAATTCCAAAGATCAAAAGCCCAGACTTCAGGCGTGGGATAAATTTCAGTTTCTTTAGATTTCAGCAATGATGACATGATGTCTGTAAAGTGATGGTTGTTCCTCACTTCAATAGTTGATCCAATGGACGTAATTTCTTGTTAGAATTCCATTCTTTAAGCATTCTTAGTTTTTCCTAACATGGATGGAGAGGGAGGGAGATGCCTTTGGCTGAAGACTGGAGGTCTCCGGTTGCACTTAGAGCTCAGTAACAAATGCAACTCAACAAATCAGAGAGCTGTTGTCGGGCAGAATTTCCTGAACACACAGACGTGTCAAAGTATCCCCTTCTTTGCTTTGAAAGAAACATTATCCTGCACAGTTGAAAAAAGAAAATGCTCACTGTTCGAATTTTCCAAGTTGCAAAACTTCCCTGGCATTTCAATGATATTACAGTCCAAGTTCCAAATTTGTTTATAAATCCCAAAAAGAACAAAGATGTAATCTGTCACCTGGATTGTTATTGAACATAATTTAACAGCAAACCATATGCAGTTTCAAGACAAATGGCTAAAAGCTTGGTCAAAAAGGTTAGTTACAAGGATATCTTCAGGGGATGAGAAAGTGATGGAGAAGCAGTGCATTGAAAGCAGAGAATTTCAAAGCTCTGTAGTTCAACTGAATGCCTGTTTCTGTACAAAACATCAACATAAAAATAAATGGCAACCTTTATGTTTCTACTTCATTCTGATGAGTGGATGCGGAATGTATTTCACCTGACAAGATTTTTTGTGAACCATTTTTGAATTTTGGAAGTGCCTGAATCATGCCGGTGCACAATATGAATGCAGAGCACCACATAAGTTACAAATAACAAACATATCCTGGGTTAAGTCTGGGCTCAGGTAATACTATAACAAGAAAAGTATTTGACCTTCGCTGATGCAGTTTTGTATCATTTAGAACTCTTAGATTACTTCCTTAAGGTTGGTTTACCTACTTCACTGTATTGATTTTTCTCTGTCATTCCCAGATATTGCTCAAGGAGTTTGAGACACGAAAGCCACAACATGAACAGCTGAAAACGGCAGCCGATGGCATTTTGAGTCGATCGGATGACCCTGCTGTGGCCAGTGGAGTTGTGAGCAATCAGCTGGCTACCGTCACACAAAAGTGGGACAACTTGACGGGACAGCTGGTTGAACGGTCCAACCTCATCGATCAGGCCATCGACAAAAGCAGCAGGTACCAGAGTTTAGTTCGGGACCTCTCAGCCAGGCTGAACATCTTGAATACTATGCTGGTTGATCAGCTGGCCATTGGCTCCCAGCCCGAAGCTGTGAAATCCCAACTGGAAGCAGCCAGTGAAATCCGGTCGGAGTTGAAGCGGGAGGAGAAATCAGTGCAGGAGGCCCAGAGGCTCTGCGAGGAGATCTCAGCCCTCGTTGGTGAACAATACCTGAAGGCTGAGCTTAGCAGGCAGTTGGAAAATGTCTTGAAACCCTACCGAGATCTGGAGGAAAAAGCAGGTGAGTGGGGAAGTCTGAGGATTCATGAAACAAGGATTGCTTGTTACTGAAAAATATTCAAGCCCACTTTGTCAATGATCTTATAAGTTACAAATACAAATCTGAAATTACATCACAGTACTGCAAGGAGAGAGCATTTGAGAAAAAAACAAGGTTAACAATGTAATCTGAATTACAGTGATGCAAGAACAAGTATTGATCTATATTTATCTCATGCTTGGTAAACCTTTGCACTCCAGCATCTTCTGTTGTATGTTGATTTGTTTCAATTTCCTATATACGTTGTAATTTAATGTTGAATCTAACCATAAGTTGCCCCTATATTTCATATAATTGCCAGTTTGAACTTTACTATGCTGTAAGTTCCCACTGGCAGACCTAAGAATTATACACAGTAGCTTCTTTGCACAGCGATAAAAAAGAAAAACATATTGGTTTATGACCAGTTGACCTGTACAAAATGAATTTGAAAATAGGAGAATAAATGATTTAGAATGCATTTGGAAAGAAAAAATCAGGAGAGACAATATAACTTTAAAAGTGCAAATTCAAAGGAGGAGTATAAATAGAGAGCTGGATGTGCATAAATCTTTGAAGGTGTTATTTGTGGATAGCAGGATTTTGCCACCATTTCTGTCAAGATGTAAGGGTTTACCTGGTCCAAAGTGACTGAGAAACAACCACATGTGAGGCTTAACAAGGAGGTCCTCTTGTTTTAAGCATTTTTTTATTCAGGCATGGAATATGTGGGCAGTGCTGGCTGAGCCAGTATTTATTGCCCTTTCCTATTTAGTTGCCAATGCAAAGGTGGCAGTGAGCTGCCTTCTTGAACCACTGTAGTCTATGTGTTGTAGGTAGACCAATGATGCCATTAGGGAGGGACTTCCGTGAATTTCACTTAGCAAGACTAAAGAAATGGTGATATATTTCTAAGTCAGGATGGTGAGAGGTTTGGAAGGGTACTTGGATGCTCCCATGTATCTCTTGCCCTTGTCCGTTTAGACGGTAGTGGTTGTGGGTTTGGATGGTGCTGGCTGTGATCCAAGCTGGACGTCAGGGAGTAGATTATTATATGATGTAGTTTATTGCATTATAGTTTTATGATCCAAGCTGACAGTAGTACTGGAAAAGTCAGATCTCACAAGGAAACTTTTTTTTTAAATTTGGTTACCCCTTTGTAATGCAATTTAGAATTATCTTAACATAAACAGGAAAAAGAAAGAAAAAACCCTTTTCCTAGCAATATCCTTGAGAGACAATCAACCTCAGTGAAATATCGCTCAAATCTTAATTGTTTAATTTCTTACTTAATGGATGAGATTGCAACCATTTTCTTTTGGCAACTTTCTATACATTTAGCAGATGTGCTTCTCTCTGTTAGTGTCTCATCCAGAGAAACACAAATATTAGCTACTTCACTGATTATTCCTAACTGAATTTTAAGAAAAACCCTACTTAAACTGCTGAATAGTTTTTGGGCCTCTTTCCAGCTCTCTGAAAGCTTTGATTACTACAAACTAAACTGCCCTTCTGTGGCATGAAATTGCTCTTTGCAAGTGAATCCTGATTATGGTCCCAGTCTGTCTTTCTGTATGTCACAAAAAGTTCAACGTTGTGAACATTTCACAATTTAACTCCCCAGGTAATTTAACTAGTCATTTAGCTTACATGCTTTCTTAGAAATTAGGTTTGAACTCATTAAAAATGACTTACTGATCTTGTTCAAAGAAACAAGTCACCTTGGCAGAACTGAAGGCTAAAACCTATTTCATATGCTTACTTTAAATTCCAAATTCCCAAGTATTATATGTTATAAACTTTTAACATAATCGGGTTCAAGTTATACTAGTTTGGTACACACTGTTCCTAGGCTGTCAGGAGACCTTTAGATACAGGTCTGCACTCCACGATGTTTTGCCTTATCCCCATTTAGACCTATCTGACATCATCAGATTGATTGGAGCTTAATACAGTCTCCAACATTAACTCTTTCAGAACCATTAACTTTTGCAGCACATTAACACTATTTAAAACAACATTTGAGAAGTTAGCTTTATAGACAGGGGAGTACAACTCTAAAGCAAAGATGTTATGCTTTATGAAGCATGAATTAGGCCTCAGCTGGAGTATCATGTTCAATTCTGCACAACACCTTTTAGGAAGGATGTTAAAGTCTTGTAAGTCTGTTCTGCACTATTTGCTAAAAAGGTACTGGGGTGAGGGATTTCAGTTTACAAGAGAGGCTAGAGAAGCTGGGCATATTCTCTGTGGAGCAGAGGAAGAGATGCTCAAAATTATCAGGTGTTTTAATAACATAAATAGGAAGAAACTGGCAAGAGGGTTGTAAGCAGAGTACACAAATTTAACATTTTTGGAAAGAACTATCTGGATGGGCTGGTGGCAATGGACGTTTTTTTAATGCAGTGAGTTATCATAAACTGCGATGCACTGTGTAAAAGAGTAGTGGAAACAGAGTCAGTGCTAACTTTCCAAATGGAAATGAATTAAGGTTCAAAAAGAAAAATAAATAGCGGAGCAATGTGTGAAAACAGGAGTGTAACTAGTTTGGTAGCTCTTTCAAAGAGCTGGCACAGGTCTATAAGGCCAAAAGGCCTCCTCCTGCATGGTCCTATTCTATTTGGCCAGAAGAATCAATTCATGTCCTAAAATAATGTTTTGTCTTTTTGTTTTGGTAAAGGAAACCAAGTCCACCAGCTACAGTCAGCACTTGCTAATTCCGAGCAATTTCAGCAGATGTTCGATGATTTTAAAGCATGGATAGATGGAAAGTGCAGAGAGCAAGGCCAAAGGCCTCCCATACCTGCCAAGCTGGAGCGCCTGCATTTGCTGATTGATGAGCAGGCAGAGTTCCAGAAATCTTTGGCCCAGAAAGCTGGGTCCTACGAGATGATCCTGGTGGAAGGTGAGGCTCTCCTGCAGAATATGCAGCCTGGTGCTGAGAAAACAGCCTTACAGGGTCGTCTGGGAGCCCTCCGGGCTGACTGGGAAGTACTAGCCAAGCAGGTAGAAGCCAGACAAGAGAAACTGAGGGACTGTTCCCAGAAAGCCGAAAAGTACAGAGAATGTGTCGAGCACCTACTACCGTGGATACAAGAGTGCGAGGAAAAGGCTTCTCAGGTACAAGTCTGTAGCGACGCTGCAGAAATTGAATCTTCATTGGTGAACATTAAAGGTTTACAGAATGATGTGGACAAACATCGGAGGGCAATAGAGTCGCTAAATAATGCTGCCAACAGCTTGATCGAAGCTAGCGAGGCTGATCAGCAAGATATCCAAAGCGAGAAGGCTTCAGTCAACCAAAAGATTGATTTGATCAATGAACAGCTCCAGCTGAAAATCAGTTCCCTGGATGAGATGGCAAAATGTATGAAGGAGTTTCACAATTCTGTCAAAGATGCCAAGAAGCAACTAGATGGAGCCAAGCAGCAACTTGAGCTCCATAATGCCCTTGGACCCCAGGCATACAGTAATAAATGCCTGACCAATATGAATGCCCAGCAGAAGACTCTTCAGGCTTTGGCACCGCAAGTGGAGAATATCAAGTGCCTTGCTCAGAGATTGGCTGCTGGTACCTCAGACAGTGCCGGGACTTCTTTGATCCTGCAGCAGACCAATTCCTTACAGGATGATTATGCATCAGTGAGTCAGCAAGTGCGAGAGAGGTGCTCTTTCTTGGAGACCAAGCTCCAAGGCATTGGGCAGTTTCAGAACAATATCCGGGAGATGTTTTCCTTATTTGCTGACCTTGATGATGAATTGGACAGCATGGCTCCTGTGGGAAGGGATCTGATCAGTCTGCAAGCTCAGAAGGCTGGCACCCAGGATTTCATCGTCAAACTGCAAGAGCTAACAGCAAGCATTGAAAGTGCAAAGAAAGAGGGCAAGCAGATGCTGGAGTCAGCAAGTTCTCCAGATTTATTGGGGTTAAAGCGGGATTTAGATGCTTTAAGCAAACAGTGCAATAAACTCCTGGACAGGGCCATGATCAGAAAAGAGCAAGTGGAAACCAACCTTGCTCGGGTTGAGGAATTCAACAGTAAATGCAAGACATTTAGTAAGTTGATGACAGTCGCTGAGGAGCATGAAGAGAGTCAGGGCAGTGTTGGAACAGAAACGGATGTCATCAACCAACAACTGGAATCATTCAAGGTACTGCACTCTCTCAGTCTATACATTGGTTTATGGTGGTATTATTTTGTATAATAGTGTCCTGGGATCTTTAATTGTGTACCACTGCTTTACAAATTCAATTTCTTGTTGTTGATGCAATGTCTCCAAGTTGACTCAGAAGGCTGTTATGGCCATTGGGAACTCTACACTATTACTGAGTGGCTGTTGTGGTTTTTGAAATGAGAATCTCTTGTTCCTGTTGAATCAGAGGTGAGGAGTACCACCATTTTAATGGATAAACAATCAGCTGAATCGTCTGCATATTTGTGAGATAGAGTCAGAGTAATGTCTGATCCAAATTCAGTCAAAAATGAAACTTCCTCATTTGTATTGTTTTTCAAAATCAAGAATTCTATCTCCTGTGTTACAGTAAGTGACATTGGTCAGCTCCTTGAGGAACTTGTGTTCAGTCATTTAGGTTTTGCTCAGCTGATCTCTCCCAACAATATTCCCTCACTGCCTCATCCTGCTTCCTTTCTCCAATTTTCTCTGCTTTCCTTTCATATTCAGGTCAGGTTGTAGGGAGGTGAGAGTTGGAAATCTACATCCCTTGATGCCCTTTGGCTATCTCAGCTCTCTAAGTTTTTTGTTCATGTGTGAGCTTAAAGTTCCTGTGGGACTATTCCCCCATGAAGGAAGCTATCCTTGTATTCAGGCATGTGCACAGTCGCTGATTGAGGGACTAATATATTAGCAGGAATGAAGTTTGTTCAATTGACACAAAACAGGCAATAAGAACAAACAGAACATTTTCAGATTGGTGGCAGTTATTAGTGGGATACTGTAGTGGTCAGCATTTAGACCTCCACTCTTTAAAATTTGGTTGAGGGAATTGAATGTAATGTATTCAGGTTTGCTGATGATGCAAAGTTAGGTGGAAAAGTAACTGAGGAAGAATTCACAGAGATTTCACAGGAATCTAAACAGGTCGGGTGAGTGAGCACAAATTTGATAGATGCAATATTACATGCAAAAGTGTGAAATTATCCTCTTGGTATGACTTTTTTAAAAGCATATTTTTCGAATAGTGAGAAACTAGAAAATGTTTACATTCAGAGGGAGCTGGATGTCTTTGTGTAAGAATCACAGCAAGTAACCTTCAGGTAAACAAGCAATTAGGAAAGTATATATATTATGTACATTTCTGTTAGATAGGAACTGGAGTAGATGAAAGAGGGCTTACTGCAATTATACAGAACATTAATGAGACCCCACGTGGAGTAATGTGTGCAATTTTAATCTTTCTATCCAAAGAAGGACACAGTTGACTTAAAGGGAAAGTAACAAGAGTTTATGAGATTGGTTCCTGGGATTGTAGATTGACCTCAATAGCGATACTAAATAAACTAGGCCTATAACTCCTGGAGTTTGAAAGAATGAGAGGCGATCTAACTGAATCACATAAAATATTTAAGGTGTTTGACTGGATAGATGCTGATAAAATGTTTCTGCTGGCTGGGAAATCTAGAACTTTGAGTTTTAGAATTAAGGATCAGACATTTGAAACTGAAGTGAGGAGAAACTTTTTAATTCAAGGAGTTTGGTGTTTTAGAGATTCTGTACCCTAGAGTCCTGTTAATGCTCAGTCATTAAGATGGCGGTGTAATGATAGTGTTGCTAGATCAGTAATCCTGAACTCCTGGCTAATGTCCCATGACATTAGTTTGAATCCACCGTGGCAGATGGTAAAATTTGACTTCAACAAATAGTCTGGAATAAAAAGCTAGCCTTGTGGTGACCATGTAACCATGTTGATTGCTGTAAAAACCCATCTGATTTACTAATATCCTTTAGGAAAGGAAATCTACAATCTTTACCAGATTTGGCCTATGTGTGACTCCAGACTGGTAGCAATGTGGTTAATTCTTAATTTGGGGGTGGCCAATAAATGCTGGCCTAGCTGGTGATGCCCACATCCCATGAAAAGTTTTGAGTAGTATAGCAATAAAGAGATGTAGGATTACTGAAGAAAGACAGAGTTGAGGTACAAGATTAACCATGATCTTGTTAAATGGTGAAGCAGGATTGAAGGGCTGAAGAGCTCCAACTGGCATTTGTTTGTTATAATCTCGTGGATGACATGTGAGGAGTATTGGACTTCTAGTCTGCGTAGCTTAGTTTACACGTCATGATGTTCTTGTCCACTAAATCATCAAAGTGATATTCTGCAAACTCCTTTGCTTCAATTTCAATTTGTTTGTGCATCATATACTCAAGAGTCAGACAGTATGGAAACAGACATCACATCTGACCTAGTTCCACCCGCCAGCGTCTGGCCCAAATCCCTCTAGCCCTTCCTATTCATATATCCATCCAGGTGCTTTTTAAATATTATAATTATACCCACATTCACCACATTCCCTTGCAGTTCGTTCCATACATGCATCACCCTCTACGTGAAAAAATTACCCCTCCGGTCCTATTTAAATCTTTCCCATCTCACCTTAAACCTATGTCCTCTAGTTTTGGACTCCCCCACCTTAGGAAAAAGACCTTGGCTATTTACCTTATGCATGCCCCTCATGATTTTATAAACTTCTATAAAGTCACCCCCCAGTCTTCGACACCCCAGGGATAAAAGCCCCAGCCTATTCAGCCTCTCCCTATAGTTCAAACCCACCAGTCCCAGCAACATCCTTGTGAATCTTTTCTAAATCTTCTCAAGTTTAGCAACATCCTTCCAATAGAAGGACGAGCAGAATTGTATGCGATATTCCAAAGGTGGCCTTGCCAATGTCCTGTACAGCTGCAACATGACATTCTAACTCCTATACACCGATGTTCTGACCAATGAAGGCAAGTGTGCCAAATGCCCTCTTCACCACCCTGTCTACCTGCAACTCCACTTTCAAGAAATTGTGAACCTGTACTCCAAGGTCCCTTTGTTTGACAGCACTCCCCAGGGCCCTACCACTAATTATGTAAGCCCTGCCATAGTTTGCCTCATCAAAATGCAACACCTCACATTTATTGAAATTAAACTCCATCTGCCACACCTCAGCCATTGGCCCATCTGATCAAGGTCATCTGAAAATGATCTTCACTGTCCGCGACACCACCTATTTTGGTGTCATCTGCAAACTTACTGACTATACCTCCTATATTCATTTCCAAATCATTTATACAAGTGGCAAAAAGCAATAGACCCAGCACTGATCCTTGTGGCACACCACTGGCCACAGGCCTCCAACCCAAAAACCAACCCTCCACCACCACCTTCTGTCTCCTACCTTCAAGCCAATTTTGTATGCATAGGCTAGCTCCCCTGGATCCCATGTGATCTAACCTTACTAAATGGCCTATCATGTGGAACCTTGTTGAACGCTTTGGTGAAATCCATATAGACAACGTCTACTGCTCTGCCTTCATCAATCTTCTTTTTCACCCCTTCAAAAAGCTTAATCCAAGTTAGTGAGACACGATTTCCCATGCACAAAGCCATGCTGACTATCCCTAATCAGTCTTTGCCTTTCCAAATGCATGTAAATCCTGTCCCTCAGAATCCCTCTAAACAACTTACCCACTGCTGATGTAAGGCTCACCAGTCTGTAGTTCCCTGGCTTTTCCTTACAGCCTTTCTTAAATTTTGGTACCACATTAGCCAACCTCCAGTTTTCTGGCACCTCACCCATGGCAATCGATGATACAAATATCTCAGCAAGGGGCCGAGCAATCTCTTCCCTAGTTTCCCACAAAGTTCTGGGAAACACCTAATCATTTCCCAGGGACTTACCTACCTTTATGTTCATAAGACCTCCAGCACCTCCTCTTCTGTAATATGAACTGTTTTCAAAACATCACTATTTATTTCCCCATGTTCCTTAGCTTCCATGACTTTCTCCACAGTAAATACTGTTGCAAAATATTTAGTAACTCAACCATTTCCTCTGATTCCACACATAAATGGCCACATTGATTGTTAAGCGGCCCTATTCTCTCCCTAGTTACTCTTTTACCCTTAATATATTTATAGAATCTCTTTGGATTCTCCTTAAGTCTATTCGCCAAAGCTATCTCATGTCCCCTTTTTGCCCTCCTGATTTCCCTCTTAAGTATACTCCTATTGCCCTTATACTATTCTAGGGATTCACTCGATCCCAACTGTCTATACCTGATAAATGCCTCTATCTGTTTCTTGACCAGAGCCTCAATTTCTCTAATCAATTACTATTCCCTACCCCTACCAGTTTTGCCCTTCACACAAACAGGAACATACTGTCTCTGAACTCTTGTTATCTCATTTTTGAAGGCCTCCCACTTTCCAACCATCCCTTTATCTGCGAATAACCTCTCCCGATCAACTTTTGAAAGTTCCTGTCTAATACCATCAAAATTGGCCTTACTCCAATTTAGAACATTAACTTTTTGATCAGTACTGTTCTTTTCCATAACTATTTTAAAACTAGTAGAATTATGACCAATCGCCCCGCAGTGCTCCCACACTGACACCTCAGTCACTTGCCCTGCCATATTTCCCAACAAAAGGTCAAGTATTGCTCCTTCTCTAGTAGGTACATCCACGTACTGAATAAGGATGTTTTCTTGTAAACACTTAACAAATTTCTCCCCATCCAAGCCCTGAACTCTATGACAGTCCTAGTCTACGTTTGGAAAGTTAAAATCCCCCACGGTAACAACCCTATTTTTCTTACAGAAATCTCAGATCTCCTTACATATTTGTTTCTCAATTTCCTGCTGACTATTGGGCACGTATATTTATTAGTTTTCTGCATATGTGACTGCATCTAGTAATATTAAAGAACTCCAGTCACATACTTCTACTTCTGTCACTTTTTCACCACGACTTTCTGCCCATTAATTAATGAAATAACATTTAATGCCTTATGATTCATCTTCACTTTATCTTGATTTTCTTTTACTTTACCATGACATCAGGCTTAAGTCAACAAAACCTTGTCCTAGAAACCTGTTCAAACACTTTACAACAGGTTGTGCACTACACACGTTGACTGAGAGAT